TCACGCTCTCCCTGTTTTTGGCATGCGATGGCCAAGTAGGCCCAGTAGGCCTGTTTTTCACTCTCCCCAAACTCCAGAGCCTTTCTAGAAGCCTGGGGAGGACGAAAATGGCCTTCCCCAGCTCCCTGGAGGCCCTCTGGAGGCCGGAAATGGCCCGTTTCCCAACTTCTGGTGGGCCCAGAACACCCAAAAATCAGCTGGCTGGCATGCACATGCTGAGCTAGGGCAACATGTGCGTGCCCACATATATGGCTCCGTGTGCCAACTGTGGCACGCATGCCATAGGTTCGCCATTATGGGTATAAGATCTCCTGCTTGAGCAGGAGGTTGGACTGGAAGACCTCCAAGGTCCCTTCCAACTCTGTTATCCTGTATTGTTCTTTGTGGCATATTTGCCTCTATAGATTTAAATTTAACAAGTTTTTAAAAAGCCAAGTAGATCAGGAAGCGTGATCCAAGGAAAGTGTCTGGGACATACTTCTCTTTTTTAATATCTCTTTTTCCATCCCAGGGAGCGGATTAAGGCAAATACAGCCACTATTTCTCAAGCTAAACTTTCAAGTAAAGTTGATATGAGAATAAAGCAAAGTTGGCAGAATGATTTCTAAGCACTATTTTGTGTTCTTCGGAGAAGTATAAATTAAAGGGGAGTGCCTGCCGATTCCATGCTTATCATAGTGACAGGGTCCTGTTAAGATCCTCTCTCCCCTTGCATTTATGCCTTCTTCCTTTTTGCCTTGTGCAATACAGAGGGAGTGGGGTGGTGGGAAGGAAAAGTGGCTCAGTTTAGGAATCATTGCTGTAGTGATAAAAGCTGCAGAGAAAATGTGGGATATGTAGAAGAAATATGAGCAACATTGATCTGGTTCTTATCATATGGCCTAGTTTTCAGTGTAGCATAAATTCCACATTTTGGAACACTGTTGTTAGCTCACGGCTATCAATGGAACAAGGCATGTGATCCTATTTTAAAAAGAAAACAGCTTCTGCTATTGTTCCACTTATAGGAGTTTCCCACTGTTTTGGCAGCATTTTAAAACATATGGAGAAGAGGTGCTGCTTGTTTTTTGTTTTAAATTCACAGAGAGCTGCTAACTCATAGCCACCAGCCACAACTGTTTCTGGCATGAAATTAATGCCTTCCCAGGCCCTGCACTCTATTTTTTTGTAAACATAATTTCTCTGCTCTGTTTAGCTGAGTGAGAGAGACTGGGTACAACAAGGGAATCTTTCACATGCGGCCCTTTGCCAGGGGGAGGTCTTACACCAGCCGAACTGGAGAGGTTGGCCACCAAAGAAAAAAGAAAAAAAGAACCAGTGGCTGGCACAAAGAAGAATGACATGTCACAAATATGACATACTTAAGGATCTTTGCTAGTTCTGTTTTCCTAACAAAACTCAAAATGTCTCAAAAAACACAACAGGAAGGAATGGGATATAGTGAAATAAAAAGGAAATGATGGGAAGAACAACTGGTAAATATGCAGGTGGACTTCCAGAAATAAAGGTAGCAATCAGGTTTGAATCAAATCTAGTTATTTTTCAATTGTGAAGGGTGAATGAAAGCACAACACAATAAATATAGCTCGTGTACAATAATTGTGACCACAATATAGTACTGTACTATATAGTACTCTTCTTCTTTTCAAAATTATAGATGACAGGCTAACAATTTGCAAGTAGATTCAGTAGTTTTAAGAGTTTGAGTCTGTTTCACTAGGGGTGGGAAACTAATATTGTTTTATACTAGGGAGGTGTATATGTGTTAGTTTTAGTTATTTTTTAATACACTTTTTTTGTTAATGTCTTTTTTGTTGTCTTTTTTTCTTTTTAAAAAAATATCTTGGTGTTTTATATTTTAATCTTTTTTGAATAAACTAAAAATTTTGAAAAAGTACTTTTCTTCTGAATAAATGTTTATTAGTTCAGAAATAATACACGTAGTCAGGATGCAGCCTCTTCAGTCTTTCATGCCCAAACATGTTCTTTGCTAAAATACAGCAATTTGAAATCAGCTTATTCAGTGAATATGAAGATGACATTTACCGTTTGTATGTACAAGTGAATTTTCAAAACTACTGACTGTTTACTTCACTTTTGTATTGTATTGAAATACTATGAGTTCATGGAGCCTGTATCTTTTAAACCCGCACTGATTTTCTATGAGACTGGTAAATTCTGCTGCTACTCGCTCTTCCCATGCAGATTTTTTCCCCCAAGAGATTTTATGCTGTCCCAACTGTAATTCGTTTTTGAAGATCATAAGTAGACGTTTATTGCTATATTCAAGTGGAGGAACAATGACTCTCTAAAAGTTGCTGAGTGACGACTCCCAGCAACCTGAACCATTCTTAGGCGGCTCCCTAAGTGGCTCAGTGGCTAAGACGCTAAGCTTGTCGATCAGAAAGGTTGGCGGTTCGAATCCCTCATATAGGTCTCCTGTGTGAGCAGGGGGGGGTTGGACTAGATCAGGGGTCACCAACCTTTCGGACCTCAGGGACCACTAAATTCATAATTTTAAATCCCACAGACCACTAATATGATCTGCCTAATGACCAGCTGGATGGGCATGGCTAGGTGGTCATGTGACTGGGTTTGCCTGGCCAATTCGATGGCCAACTCAATGTCACTCACATCGAGGGGTGCTTTGCCGGCCTCTACTCACTCACCCCTCCCCTGCCAGCCACTCCTCACCTCCCTGTCCGGGCTCCTTAGGGCCCCAACAGAAAGCAGTTGTTGGAGCTAAGCAGCTACCATGAGCAAGTGTTGGCAAAACAGCTGGCTCAGTTCAAATTGGATCTGACTGAGGAGGCTCAGCAGAAGCACCACACTGAGGACTACCAGCATAGGCTTTCCAAGCAGAGGAAAGACCTGCAGGAGTGCAAGGCCAGTTGCTGGCGCCTGGAGACTCAGAGGGCTGAGATGGTTAGCCAGTTCCAGGCCATGATGCAGTCCCACTGGAACAAGGCCCTATGTCTCCTTGCCATCAGTGGCACTTCCCTCCAGCCTTCGCCCAAAGCCCCACACCCGGAGGCCGAAGCAGACCCCAAGTTGGAATTTCTGCCCCCTTTGACCCACACAAAAAGATCCCACAGGGGGAGGGGCAGCAACACAAACGTTCATTGCACATATCCATCCCAGGGACTATAGTTTGAGGACCCCTGATTTAATGTAATATAAAAAAATGCAAATAATTTTTCAGTGGACCACCAAAATTTTCTCGCAGACCACCAGAGGTCCATGGACCACCAATTAGTGACCAATGGACTAGATGATCTCCAAGGTCCCTTCCAATTCTGTTACTGTTACTTCATGACCACAGGTAAGCCATCCTGGCCACTGACATTCAGCAATACCCAGAGGACAACAACTTCCCCTTATTTGTAGAGGAAACCACACATATATTTATTTTTATTCATGTATTCAATTTCTATAGCTGCTGAACTCAACCAAGTGACTCTGCTATTTATAGAGTCTGGATTTTTTACATGAGGAGAATATTCCAGAGTTATAATTTTTTTCTCCTAAATAGTTGCAATGAGGAAATCTTGTCTTTTCTAAATTCTTTTGGCCAGAGACAAGGTATTTAAAATATTGTCATATAACAGATATATGATGTTGATCCAGATTATTAGATTTTAATTCTCTCTCATAGCCAGCCTTTGATTAGGTTTACTTATTTAATTTATATGCCATCCATCTCACTATCAAGTGAGTCTGGATGGCATTTAATTTAATTTAATTTAATTTAATTTAATTAATTTAATGTTGGTTTAATGGCTATGGGAACTGAAATGCAATACATTTGGAGGCTACCAGAGAATGGGGAAGGCTCACTCTGATCCTTCATTTAGAGCCACAATGGCACAGTGGTGGTGCAGTGGTTAGCATGCAGTATTGCCATCTGACTTTGCTCAGTGCCAGAAGTTCAATCCTGACAAAGGTCAAGGTTGACTCAGCCTTCCATCCTTCCGACGTAAAAAATGAAGTGAAATGAGGAACCAGATTGTTGGGGGAAATATGTGGACTCTATAAACTCTATAAACTTAGAGAGGTCTATAAAGCATCATAAAGCAATATACAAATCTAAGTGCTACTGCTATTCATTTTATTTATTTTATTTATTTGGAAAACTTATTTTGCTAGCTCACAGGTGACTCAAGGCAACTAACAGGAAATAAAAACACAATATAAAAGAAATAAAAATAATAAAAAATAAAAATAAAATGACTCTTCATTCCCCTATCCCAGTGATAATACAAACTCATACTAGCATTTATTGGGCTCTCTCCTGCTCTGGCTTCCCCAGGCCCACTGGCAGAACCATGTCTTCAGGGCCTTCCGAAAGAGTGTCAGGGTGGGGGCCAGCCTAATTTCCAGAGGGATGATGTTCCAGAGGGAGGGAGCACCACAGAGAAGGCCCTTCTTCTGGGTCCCACCATATGTATCTCTGTAGGGGATGGGACCCGCAATATTCCTTGCCTCCTCACTCTAGTGGGTTGGGTGGATGTGATTGGCAAGCAATGATCTATCAGATAGCCTGGTCCCAAACCATGAAGGGCTTTAAAGGTGACAACCAGCACCTTGAATTGCACCTGGAAGCAAATTGGCAACCAATGTAGCTTCTGCAGAAGAGATGACACATGTGCACACCGAGGTCCGCGTTTACAGGTACAGTGAAGAGCTGTGAAGTTAATCCTCAGGAAAATAAAATATGAGAAGAAGGATCATAATTTTGTGATTATTTTATTAAAATAGTATTTTAATTTAAACAAATATGAAGATTTTAGGCTCCATATTTTGCTTTAAACGGCTCTGCTCACATACCAAGGCCTTATCAGACAACACCACTTCCTAGGATTTGAACTTAAAGAGACCAAAAAAATGAAAGGAAAAAAAAATACAGGTTCAGGTAATTTCGATTTTCCTGATACAGATTGTGAATGTAAGAATATCTTTTTCAGTGCACAGACTCTTAATGATCAGTTCAGAGGAATATATTGGAAACCATAATAGTTTATTAAATCCTTGCAGAAACTGAATACACTATAAAAAGACATCAGGCTGCTGACTTCAGATGACCGGAAAAAGGCCACAAATTGTTCATTATTTCGGTATTAGAGGGAAGAGAGATGTACTAGTGCAGGGATGTCCAAACTTGACAACTTTAAAACTTCTGGACTTCAACTCCCAGAATTCTCCGGCCAGCTTAAATATATACATAAATACAATTTTAGTACTTAAATATTAAATATATTTTAAACAATTTTGACACATATATATACAAAATGCTGACAATTAGCATCACCTTTATTAATAACAAATTCGTTTGCAAAATCAACAAACTGATATTTTGAAATTTTGTGAGGTGCTGTGATTGTGAAGCGGTAAAATGCAGCTTGTTTGGTTTATTCCTAAATCTAGCACTGCAGGACTAAGCTCAGTCTGTCTGTGTCCTGCATTTTGAGGAGGGGTGAGTTTTTGAATGAGGATTACTTTTCTGAATGTGGTATTTTATCAAGCAGAAATTTGTCAGGCATGGTCTCTTCCCTGCAGGCAGGGCCGGATTTTCCTATAGGCTAACTAGGCTTCAGCCTAGGGCCTCAAGATCAAGAGGGGCCTACATTCAAATTGTTAGCAAAATTAAAATTACACTTTCACTATAGGTGAAAGGGCCTCATAAGTGGAATAGCCTAGGGCCTCTTTTCATCTAAATCCGGCCCTGCCTGCAGGGTATATCGGTATGATGAGTCTGCTTGTATTTCTATTTGTTCTTACACAGGAAGATTGTCTGAATCAAACCGCACTTTTGGGTGATGCTCACTGGGAATTGTACCAGTAGTCCAGTAGAAGAGGAAGGCTGGGAAAGGCTATTCTACTTATTCATCCTTGAAATAAATTTGGTCACAATTTCCTCTCTCAGGCAGTTTGAATCAGCTGTAAATATTGTTAATACGGAACAGAAAACCTGAAAGGGCCCATCGAATCACGGCTGCTTGAATTTAAATTTAGTCGAGGCTGTACTTCTTTTTGAGACTCTTAAATTAACTCCGGGCGAGTTAATTAAGCTACCTCTCACGTCTCGTGTGGATGAGTCCGATTCCTTCCCAGGGTCAGTGCGTGAGAGCGCGAACGATCCGAAGCAAGCTCTGCTCACTAGTAAGGCGGACCTTCGGAAATTCCTAGGAGGGAGAAAAGCAGCAAAACCCCGCCTCTTCACGAGGCGGGCTTTTGCAGGCTTTATGTAGTCTTGCAGGAGCGGCGGAGCTCAGAATTGCGAACCAGAGGGCGCTTTTCCTTGAGCGACTGAGGGAGGTGAGCATTGCGTCTAACCTACCCTACATTTCCCCCGTCTGTTTGTAGGGAGGGTGCTGGGCTATGGCATCAGTGCTATATGGGCGTGTTGTTCGGATGCGTTTATGAATATATGGTCCCGTTTTATAGGAATATCAGAGTTCTATTTGTCTCCCTACCTGGACTGGGAGAGCTGTTTAGACAATTCCAGGTACTGTCAGGTTGTGTTTTTTAGGAGGGGGGGATGTTTCTGGCTGGAATTATGTTCCTATATTTTGGAATTTGCTATCCCCCCCTCTTTCTGGATTAAGAGACTCTCGATGGAGCATCACGGCCTCTTACGATGGGCTAATTATCCAATCCACCATATATAGTTTGTGAGTATGAAATGGAACGTTGTCTGGCGAGGGAAGGAAAGATCAGCGGACCGATGGAACCTGAACCGAGTAGCCGTGGTGATTCTCTGCCTTCCCCGCCCTTTTGATCCCAGTTTAAGCAGATTCTGCATTCCCGTAGAGACGACCTCGTCCTTCCACCTGTTCTTTCCACCTCCTCTCGCTGCTCATTAGGTGGATAGTGATGGGGTGGTTTTTCGCGCTTTTCCTCCTTGCTCCCAGGAGGAGATACTCGCCAAATGACATTAGACTTTTTTTTTTTTTTTTGGAAATGAGAGCGTCAGCTGGACCCTTCTTACCCAAGTTCTTCAATCTTTTCGATGAGTGAACTTTGAATTGCGGTCGATTTTGCCCTCCTATTCCCGAAAGGCTGGTTTGAAGACCGGGACACGGATAGAAACTGTCGCGTTGGTGCGATGTTCGTACCTTTTGAGTACAATTTACTCGTTCGCTTATCTTTTTTTCTTTTACACCAAAATTAAAACGTCGCAGCAAAAGGAGAAGTAGCAGGTTTGGGCTGATAATCGGAGAGACGTTCTTGGGGGGCGGGGGGGGAGAAGAAAAATAGGAAAAAACAAGGCAGGAAGATTTCTGTCAGGAAGACTTCTCTTTCCCGGGGGCAAAACTGATTTGTGCGCTCTTCCTAGAAGCGGGTGCGTGCGTGTCTAAGAGGGTAGTGGTGATGCCCACGGCCTTAGCCGAGTCCTGTAAGAGGAGCTAAAGGAGCCTTTTCCAGCCTCACCAAAAGGGGTGCTCTTGGGTCAGCAGCTGTGCTGTACTTTTGCCTAGGAAAGGAGTCTGTCAGGGCATGCCCTGGCGTGGAGGAGGAGGCGGCTGCGGCTGCCGCTTGCGAGAGGGTGGGGAAGTCAGGCGGCGGCCGGGAGTGATTCAGTGACAGTCACTCTCTGAGGCTGATGTAAGAGAATAGGCCCAGCCCTGCCAGTTTAGGGATGTTTAGAAACGCCTTCGTTTTGTATTAGGGAGCTAGACCACCTTCCTGGCGAAAGAGACGTCTTTCCCAAAGGTCTCCCTCGGCTTCTGTGAGCAGAAATAGCCCGTGTCACTGGGAGGGGTGGGCCATTAGACGCACGAGTTCTTCCGACTCTCCGCCCAGCCCCGCCGATGTTCTTGTCTCAGTTGGGAACTCCTTGTTCCCAAACGGAGTTTTATTTTTGTACTCGCTCTGTTTAGAGAATCAGCCCCGGCTACGCTGCTGCTTTTTTTTTTTTTTTTTAAAGAGTCGCGCGCAAACTCGGGCACGCGCTGGAGGCGGTGGCAGGAAAGCGGCTAGACGGAGGCTGGTTTTGTTTACTGACTTATGAAATTCGTGTCTTCCAGCAGCTGTGGTATTCTCGGTCTTCCTTCCCTCTCCCCCACCTCCCCTACTAAGGGTGTGTGTGTGGGGGAGGGGGAAAGAGATAGGGAGTGAGGTAGAGAGTCATAAAGCTGGTTTAGGAAGGAGCACCTAGACCAGCTTTTTATGGAGGCTGCTGAGCGCCTAAATCCCAAAGGTGCCACTTTGCGTGCGTGGGTTGCGCCCTGGAGTTTTTCTCATTCCTTTGTGCCTGTTAACAAAGGCGGTTGGGTAGGGTGAAGTAAAGAACGCAACTGAAAAAAAGAGCTCCAACCCTAAAGCCCCAAAGGCGAAAGGGGGGCAATATTGTGTGGGAAGGAAAGAGAGAGGCGGAGCCGTAGTAAATTCGGCGCACGTTTCCCATTTCCTGGCAGCGAATCCTGTCGGTCTGTGTGGCGAGTGCGATTTCGCAACTTCCAAGCCGGCACGTGACGCGGCTGCTGTGGTACCAGATGACGTAACCCCAACCCAACCCACCATCACCGGGCGAGCTTCGTGAGCGTCTCGCACATCTCCTCGGCTCCTCCCGTGGTGATAAGGAAGTCCCTGTTTTGCTTTCCGCCGGGGTCGAGTTGGGAAAGGGTCTGTTTGAGAGAGAGTGAAACGTCCGACAAGACGGGCGGGTTCCAGCGTTGAAATAAAGCGGTGGCGTGTTCAAAACTTCTTTTTTTGTTTTTTTTGCAACCGCGAGACGGGTCGCTGAACTGCTGGAAAAGGGCGGGGGGGCGAGAAAGGGAGGATAGCTACTGTTTCAACAATGGTGACCTAAATTTTGATTGGCTGGCGCTGGCAGAAAACAATTACGGTAAATTGAAGTTTGCAGGGTAAACGGAGGCTAAATTTTGTGTCGCGATTGAGATAGCTACGTCTTCTGTGTTTCCTTCTGTAAGGTCCGGCTATACGCTTAAGCTCTCAGTGAACCAAAAAGAAAGACTTAAACGGAGGCTTGAATAAGAATCAATTAATCTTTGATCAAAGACAAAAGGCTGGGTAAAACCATTCCAAACACATACAAAGAGATATGTATATGGGAGGGTTCACATCTTCAGAGAAGATGTAACCACATTTTATACCTTTAAAGCATCAGTTAGATCCCCAATTCTGGCCCCTTAATTTATGTTTGTGTATTCTTTGTTGCCTGCAAAGGAATCTAAACTTCCAATTAGTCTTATCTTTGTTTACTTAATTGGCCACTTAGCGCCTGGCTCCTGAAGACCAGATCTTACCCAGATCAGACATAAATTAGGATTGAGATGTAAATTACCCCTTTGTTGATGGCTGGAGTTCCAACAGATACGTACCATGTTTTTAGGTGGCACAGAAAGAGATTGATATGAGCAGGTCAAATGGCAGGGACATACGTTTGACAAATACCAGATACATTTCAGAGGCCTAATGACAATATGTTTGTAACAGGAGATACAAATAGAAAGGAATAATATATGTGATACAAAAGCACAATATATATGTTACAGGAACCTAATGATTACAGAATAACAAGCTTTTACTAAATCTAGTATATCAGTATTTTATATTCTATATTATTGTTTCCCTACATTTCACTCTTTTTATTTAAACGATGGAATGCTTTCCATCATGCTGTAAAAGAGGTACATATTTAGTAGGGATGGTTTTAAGAATCATGTGAGGTTCAGTTGGGGAAGAGTTTGGCTGCGGGTATAAAAGTCCCGAGGATCAAAAACATTGAGACAAGTTGTGGAACCAAAATAAAGATCAGAGCCATTGTCACCTTTTCCAAAGAATGTGCGGGGAAACCAGCAGCAACAGAGCAGAAAAATAGCAAAGACAACAAAAACAGCAAATCAAATATATTCAATGGGTGTCCAGTCTATCCAGTTCATCAGTGAACAGGTCAGCAGGCGATGCTGGGGAGCGGTGAAGTTTCAGCTTGAGTCCTTCCAGCTGTTGGACTTGCCACTGCTCAGGGGGCTCGGGGCCGTGCTTGACTCGTGATGCGTGGACCCACGCTTTGACGCCGTCCACTTTCACAGCCGTGGGGGTGCTCAGAAGAACCTGACGGGGTGTAGACCACTTGGGCTGAGTGCAGGTGGGAGAGAGTTCTTTGATCCTTACCCACTGGCCCGGTTCAGCCAATGGTGGCACGTCAGCAGCTGGACTGATAAAGTAAAGCGGACTGGACCTGTTTAGAGATAGAGGACAAAACCTGCGCCAGATTATGCAAATATGAGGTGATATTTCTTTCCCCTTCACTAGAATCTGGCAGGGCAGAAGCAACAAAGGGTCTCCCATACATCATTTCAAAGGGTGACAATCCTAATTTCCCTGAAGGCAGGGCTCTAATTCTTGCTAAGGCTAGTGGTAGTACCTTAGGCCAGGGGAGTTGGGTTTCTTGGCATAATTTGGACAAGTGTGTTTTCAGGGTTCTGTTCAAACGTTCCACTTTCGATGAAGCCTGTGGTCTGTAAGCAGAGTGGAGGTGCCAAGGGATGCCTAAAAACTTACTGACATCCTGAGTAACCTGTGAGGTGAAATGCCTGCCATTGTCAGACTCGAGACCCTTAGGGACCCCAAATCTTGGGATAATGTGATCAACTAAGGCATTCACCACCTCTCTGGCTTTTTGGGTGGAGGTAGGGATGGCTTCTGGCCATCCAGTGAATAAATCCACAAATACAAGAAGATTAGATTTTGCTCCCCTTTTTGGGAGTTCAGTAAAGTCTACTTGCCAAGCCTCCCCTGGATATCGGGCAGTTCGAAGACGACCGAGAGGAAGCGGACTGCCCCCTCGGGGGTTGTTCCTTTGGCAGATGTCACATTGAGAAACAACAGTCTTGCAAAGGCCACGCAAGTTTGGATTGCAATAGCGGGATGTGAGCCACTTCTGGAGTGGGCGAGGACCGCTGTGAGACATGCGATGAGCTCGTTGAACAAGTTTCCACACCATTTGTTGAGGGAGCTGGATTCTGTTCTGAACAACCCACCACCCATCGCACCACTTGCCATCAGGGTGTAGCTGGTCCCTAGTATCATATAGGGCAGGAAGGTGTTGCGTGGGTCACAGGGAAGCAAAGCTGAGAGATTCTTGGGATTGACAGCAGGGCCTGATTCAGCAGCTT